TTGATAACAGATGGTGGTATCAATCAGGGATGTTCATTCTCCTCTTATAAGTTTAAATTCATACTAATGGATATGACGTCAAAGGACTTTAGAGACTTTGTGGTAGACTTATTACTAGAGGAGAATTTCGTCAGTTAACAATATGTAGACGTCACTGTCCTTCTGAACGAAGATAGTAACAAAACTCAGAGTCCTCTGAACACCTTTAATAGAAAAAGTGGAGTTATCGTCATGCAGTTCGCTCCTATCAAATGTAAGATGATGCTGCACTACTGGTGTGCACTGACTCCTACTTTAAAGATAGAGAGTGAAGTGGTTGAGCATGGTAACCGCTTCATTTGCATCAACCCTAGCGGACTGATTGTTGACGAATCTCTCAGCATGAATACAAAAGGCTCGTGTGACATTTCCCAGCAAACGTTATCCCTAGTGTAGACGTGATATCCGGCTACCCATCAAAGGACAGGTGTAATACTCAGCTGTGAGCTGTGTTATTCTTTATAACTGTGAAACATGGCTACTGAAAGTTGAAGACCTGAAGGAGACAGTTGCCTTTGACTACAGATGTTTGCGTTCTATTCACCATGTTAAGTGATATAATATGGAAAGTAATATGTGGTTTAAGCTTAGTACTGGCTATGGAGAGAAAGCCAGTCAACTAGGTTATGGTGCTGCATGAACTGAAATGTCTAGGACATGTGGTATGCATACCAATCCATTGTTATTTCTCGCTGAGCAATGTTAGCTGACATAGAGTTAAGATAGAAAGGAGTTAGTTACATTAAGGATAAAATTTATTTTGATAAAGTCTCACAGTAATATTTACTGATGACGTTTCGAGCACAATTTATTGCTCATAATCATATCAAGTTCATCCAGGTCACCTTGATATTTTACCCATAATGGAATTATACTTTACTACAGTGCACAAGTTTTATTCTTATGTCAAGAAAGGAGTTAGGTGTGGTTAGATCGATATACCTGATCAGTCGGTGAAATGTTTCAGTGTCAGTTCGAGCTACGTAGAGAGGTGCAGACTGCATGACTGGGTTTGGCGAAACGCTAGGAGCGTCCTAAATGCCACAGATACATTCACTCATTGTAATCTCCTAGATCCATTAAGTTCTTATGTTTATCCCGCTTACATTCATTCATTGTAGTTCCTTTAATTTTTCTTCTACCTTTCTATGCTATATAGAGTTTGGAAAGTTGAATTGATGCAGTTTTGTGTAAAAATCTACTGTGAAAACTTAGTCAGTCAACAGGCCACACTGGAATTCAGAGTGAGAGGTGAACAGCATTACTTAAAGGCAAGATTTCCTAAATGTATTTTAATAGCAAGATCTACTTCTTAAGAATTACTCGAAATAAGGCTTCAGACAGTAAGATCTGAAGATAATGAGAAGCATGGAATTTTAATATTATGACGCAAAATATAAGCATATATCTTTTTTAAATCTAGGACAGATTTGTCATCTTGATAAAATCTAGCTCATCTATACAGTGATTATTTCAAAGGATCACTGAACGTAACTTTCATAGCCGCTGGCAAAAACACATCGAACGACTGCATTCCTAAAGCGCTGTGCAAATTAAAACTCCAAAATATCTTGGAAAGCACTTAGTAATGTACGGTTATCTGCACAAAGAACCAGATATATGGTAGTGGTTTTTTTTAAATTCTTTGCGTTCCGAGTGGAACTAAGGACTTCAGGCGTGGGCTTTGAATTTTCCGTAGCAGTGATGTTTTTTACAGGGTGGGGTTGCTAGCCTCACACCCAACCCCCTTTGTCGGGCTTACAACCGGCTAGGGGAGGCATAGGTGTGCGCCAACCAGGGGTCGAACCCCGGACCACATGCATGGTGCGCCAACATCTTACCGTTGAGCCACCGATGCATGGTAGTGGTTACACACTAGTTACTAATCAGCGTCTTCGCCTTTGGACAGATGTATGTAGCTAAGAACAATACGAATGAAGCAACCTATCAACACTTGAATATATACCATTGATTATTTCATATTTTAGAAAAAGACATCCACTGACGTGGAAAGTAAATTGGTGTTATTTAATGCATCATAATTATTATGTAATCATATCCCTGAGAAATTTCCCAGTTCTGTTTGTTATTAGTTGTATGGTAAATGACGTGAAAATTTTTCTTGAATCATTTGTTTTAAGAGATACGTTATCACTTTTAAATATGCCGACTTATTATAGAGTTATCCTTCCATTTTGATATCAACAGGTGTTAATCAAATGTCTTATTGATGACAAATTTAGCTAGTTGATACATATATATATTTATATTTATGATAGATATGAATTTGTTTGCAGTTTCATTTGCAGTTTTTGAATTCAATAATAAGGAAAACAAGATTACATTTCATATCGACTGGAATCGATTGAAAAACTGGTTTACTTTATTTAAAGCAAACTAAGCTGAAAAGAGTGCGCTGGTAGTTCAGCGATAGAATTATCACCAACTGCGGACGTGTTAGGGGTTCGATTCCTGACTGCTGCACTTTTGCACCTCGCTTAGCCGGTAGTGAGCTTGGTAAAGAGGGAAGGTTGGGTGTAAGTTAGTAACACCACCCTATAAAAAAGTAACAGTACCACCACGACTACTGAAACGTCAAAGCTGAAGCCTGAAGCCATATTGTGCACATGGGACGCAAATGACTGGTAGACAGAAAAAAAGAGTTAGTTTTAAACTTCATTATCATTAATGGATTCAGCGTTATCGTCGTACTCATTGCAAAATTCTGTTTCTTCTGTTTATAAACGGTAGCCTACTTATTTATTATTTTATTTTATTCCTTTGATTTCTGAGTGGAACATAAGACTTCAAGCTTTTTCAGCTCTAGAGTTTCATGAGAAGCCGTGTCTCTTTTTACGAGTTAGAGTTACTAGCCTCACGCTCAATCTTTCCTCTATATACCTGCCTTACTACCGGCCGGGAATTGAACCCTGGACCATTTATGTGGTCGGCGAGTGTTTCACCACTAAGCCAACGATACATAAATAGCAGTCCAGTCACTCTCATTATCCGAGAAATTTTAGAGACACAATTCATTATTCACAAGAATGGATAAAGTATCAATGGAACCTAGAACATTGATTCGCCTGATATTTTAATATGAGCGAAACATTCATCTTGCATTACCACAACCTACAAGAGGCTTTTTGATGTTACACAATAAGGATTGAATTTCTAGCTAAAACTTGACTGTTGCTATGATCAGAAGCAGTAAATGTACGTTTATTCTTATTGTTTCCTCTACCTATTCGGCATTTTTCACTATTGGTCTTTCCAATTACCTAAAGAGTTATTGTCGAGAGAATTAAAGTGTTATCATTTGATTCGCAAACTTATGTAAGACAAAAGCAACTAATTCTTTTAAATTTTGAGTTTTACAGATTTCATGATCCACCTCAGAGTAAATTTTGTCATAAATTGATATCACTGAATAACCAAGGTGCACTGAGCAGCTATTTCATTCTATTTCGGGACATTTTAGCAGTCTGTCATCGTCATCAGGGAAAGTATCCAAGACCTCCGGTTTGCGAGGCCATCCTGTTGACCATTTACATCCATTAATTTGGAATTCACATAAAACTTTAGCCTGTATCAGTTCACTATAAGAGTGAAGCTACAAATCAATGTAACCGATGGGTATCCGCTCAACACCTGACATGATGAATCACACAAACCACGAATTCTCATTAGAAATTCAGGACAATAATGAACCGGTGTCTGATATGCAAGATTTGTGCTTTGTAAGTATTTCGATTAATTTGTATGCAGATTTCTTCAAGGACCGTGATGAGTTAAAACATCATTAAAAAGCGACTCTTCAGTGATTCCTAGTTCCTAAGCATCTAACTGATATCCCTCCGTCATAAAAGTCAACATTTTCATAACTTATTTATATTTGCTGAGACCACTAACTATAATTTCTTAAGGAATAAAATGAAACAATTGTTTCACTTCCCTTTGAGACTTTACAGCTGTAGGCACCAATAACCCCACCGGTAACTGAACTCAGAACCTTCAAGTTACTTGGCGAACTCTCTGACTTTTCAACCCGTGGAACTGAACCCAATGCCTATCAGTTATAACTTCTGTCAATTCACGATTTTAGCGCAACTACAAGCCAATGTCATCGATGCATATTTATCTGCACACCCAACCTGATGGACTAAAGTGGTCACAACTTCTCACTGGAACTCTAGACAGTCAGTGAATCAATGATCAAATTTTAAAAAAACAAAACCATATCTGTACAAACTGATTCTTGAAAATAGTTGTTACACATAATAACTAATAAGTTTATTTTTAGATTAAAAATTAGACCTTAAAAAAACTGACTGCATTTTTTAGGTAAGAACACAGAAATTCACTAATTGTAATCTAACTCAATATCTAGGTCATTACATCACTTCAAAGAATAAGGCACTAATTGACTGGGTTTCACTGACTAATTATAACTAACACAAGCATACTAGAACTAGTCTACCAAACGAAACTAGAAATATTCCACTTTTTAAAAAAATAATTTTCCGTCAAAGATTTTAATACTTTTAGAACAATTTTTTCTTAAAAAATGAGTAAATGAGACTAAAATTTTATAAAAATCCTAAAATATATACATATAAATATATGTATTTTTAACAAAAAAGACACGAAAATTTTTTTCTTCAATGACCTTATTCAAATAATGCGATTCCGTTTCAGTATTATTTTATTTAGAAAAAAGCACTACCTTATCAGAAGAAGAATTTCCGCGTTCATTATTCTTATGAAGAGTTCAAATAGCATTAAAAAAACACACACGTAAAATTGGCATTTTAGTAGAAATAGTTGGTTGTATAGTTTATTTCCTGTAAATAAAATATTCTTTTTATGAATTTTATTATATATATATATATTATATAAATGTATATATATGTATATATAATATACTCATAAATTCATGCATAAGAAAAAATTAAACTAACCTGATAAAAGCATTGGATCATTATTTTCACCCTTTTTCACTTGATCTGGTTCACCAGTTAGTGAGCTTTCGTCAACTTTTAAATCATTACTCTGAAGAATTATACCATCAGCTGGGAGTAAATCGCCTAGTTAAAGAATTTTGATAAAAAAAGCAGAAGAAGGAGATTAGTTAAATGGTACATTTCAAACTCAAATTTATACCAAATTCAAAAACATGTAAGTGCTTTTTTTAAAATTTTTTGTTCCTATGTGTTCCCAATGGGATATATATGACTTCAAGCTTTCAGCTCTGAATTTTTAGAAACAATGGTATTTATTTCTCTTTTTTCTAGGGGATGGGGTTGATAGCCTCAAACATAAGCTTCCCTCTCTGCCGGTCTTGCTACTGGCTGATTAAGACAACGCTGAACACACAGAGGGCGTGGCTATCGTGATGTTATCAACAGCAACGAAGGTCATGAGACAATGAGAGGTGGTCTCTCTACCAGGATAATGATCACCAAATTCAACTCAAAATGCTGTGCACCCACAAATAAGGTGAACCTAGAAAAGAAAAAAGAGTTCTACAATGGACAATACTCCAGTCGGTGACATTAAAATTTTAGTGAACGACATGATCGCCAAACTGGGACCAGGAAGAGAACTCATTATGGATCGAGAAGCACTCGGAGAGATGAATGAAAACGAGAAGTCTTCGCAGACTACGGGTAATCGAACCCGGATCATGTTCGTAGTTGGTGAGCAATCTACTAGTGAAACATCAACGTATATTATATAAATAAAGTTATGAATTAAAATAGTGTTAAATGTAGTTAAAGTGGTCTAGTAAAAACAGCCCCCACAGAATTTTATCGAAATTCAATGTTTTATACGAATTGAAACAGAAAAAAGAATTGTAATTTTAATCTCATTGAAAAGTAAACTAATTTGGAAACACAAAAATCGTCAGAACGAATTTAATGGAGAGGACTTTCATCAAGATATAGAGACATTATAAAAATTACATTTAACATTGTGAGGGATTGAAGAGACTCAAACAATGACGTATTTTTAAATAAATAAACTACAGAATCAACTTAAACACTGTGATATTATGTACTGACTTATATTAATTTGTTTATTAAGTAGATCTCACAGTGAAACAGTTTCACTGGAACCAGTGAATAGTGACTCATTGTTTGATATATCCAATAAACAAATTATTATATAGAACCATCATATAAGATTTAACGTGAAAGAATCTACACGGTGGCACCGAGGTTGCTATTTACAAATCTTGAATTTAAAGAAGATACCTTGGCCGAGATTTCGGAGCACCGAATAATTAGATCTTTGAAAAAGCAGTTTTTTCTACCGAGCTACACATCAGTTCTTACCATCTACGAGTGATCTACACATGTGTGATTTACTGGCTCCTGTCAACCTGGTAATATCGGCCATACGAAGTGCACATTTTCCATCCCATCTCCGAAAATTATCCTGAATGGTTATCAAAAATACAATGCAAGTCAATTACTAGCTAGATTCTCGAAATAACATGAGAACTCATGCTATCTGGTTCAAACGGAATCCTTTTTTGAAGTTGTCTAAGAGGTTCAGCCAAATTGTACAAGGAGTGTTATATTTCAGCACTTGCTTATGGTGGAGACGCTAACTATTCGACAGCATAACCATGAAAAGTTTGCTCAAGTTTGTCATTCTAACAGAGTCTTAGATTCATCACCGCTAGTTAGCTTCTACTTATAGTGCGTAATTCATTATTATCGGTTTCACAAGTTCTTTCTGTTCATTTTACTGGCTCTTTTTCCACCTCCATACGCCTCGTGAACATCCAGTCACTTTGCTTATTATCTAATAACATGTTTCGCTTTAACAAATTACAAACTTTTACTTCCATTGTGTCAGTAATTACCACGTAATTTCTTCCTATCTTTACAAATCACACCTGATTAACTGTATCTTTCTAAGTCACTCAGCCTTATAACTAAAAATAATGGATTGCCATGCGTTCTTAATAAATGTAAACACTACTGTACAGCCTTTAAAGACAACTTCATTGACAAAAAGAAAATATTGTTGTCTGAGTCTTATTATATTCATTTTCTTCAAAACTAAACATTGCTGCCTAGTCAATTCAATTGGTTACATCAAATATGTTAGGTAGTAAAAGAGAAGACAGTGAAATGGAATGCGAAAATTAGAACAAGATCAAAATAATAAAAGACAAAGCAGATAAGAAAATAAAGTATTGTAATTATAATTAATCAATCGATCAATCCTACTCTAAGTTGTTTAACGATTCGAACCTGTGATCCTATTCAACCGAGATCAAGCATCAAAAACACTTTCCTATCCATTGCATATCGATACAATGTAATATGACATACAATGAAAATTTCTTCTGTAAAACTTATAACTTCGGCATAATTTTAACCTTTTGATTGATAAATAGGTCATTTCATAGTGGGAGGCTTCACCGACTACAGCAACAGTTATGTAACAGATGGATTTTATTAATAAGTGTGTAATTAACTAAATACAGTAGTCATGCTGTCATATGGCCTTCGGACAGACGCAGGTGTAAATACTGCGTACCAAGAAGATATTGACCGATATTTTTTTTTCGATGAAACATGTTTGCTTCCTCTCTTTCTTTCTCTCTCTCTTTCATTACTATACAGATACATTAAGGTGTAATTCAAAATTTGGTATTATCACAAATACAACGAAAACATCATCCTATTGATAAGATTATATTCAGCTGCGTCGGTGGCATAGCGGTTAGGACGCTCGCCGACCATGCACATGGTCCGGGGTTCGATCCCCGGCCACTGACGCACTCCTTTACCTCGCTAAGCCAGAAATAATGCTGGTAAAGAGGAAAGGTTGGGAATGAGGCTAGCAACCTTATCCTGTAAAAATAAACACTGCTACAGAAACTTCAAGCTAGTAGCTTGAAGCCTTATGTTCCACTGGGAACGTGAAGGAAAAAAACAACACAAATACACACTTCAGTAGTAGCCCGTGTTGTTTACAAACTATGTACAGGAAGATTTTTTTCACCCCGTCGAAGCATTTATTCTGAAGCAACAAAAAAAGTATCATTTAAAAGAACTACTAGAAAAGCATCTGGTTGAACATTAGAAACTGCCTAACCGATCCGACATGATTTGCATTAAATTTCGTTATCAGATCAAGCAGCACTGATTGCTGAGAAATCCCAAATCTTAACAAAGAAATAGGCTGTGTTTTAATTCCTCTGACAGTGAAGGGTAAATTCTATGGATGACGTCAATCTGTGATGAAGACCACTTTGATTCAAGTATTATCACTTAGGAAATATACTTGATCTTTTGTTAAAGGCAAGCAAAGAACGGGTATATATAGATAGAGAGATAGATAGATAGGTAGGGAGGGAGAGAAGAGGGAAGCAGAATTCAATATTATAAAAGGTTTAACCTTTAATCAAGTAAGAATAATATTTATAATAGAACTAAAATGATGAATTGATGGTGGTCTAGTAGAAAAAGATAAAATTACCAGAGAATCATGTTGGTTATTTTTATAAAATTGTGAAATACCATAGACAAGATAAAACAAAACTTTTCCCAGTTTGACTTGGGAAATGTTATCTTGTGTTGTATAAAAAAATGCTTTTATTTTACTGTTTGATTCAAGCCAAAAATTAATGAATATACACTTAAATACAAATGTATAGTACTCCAAAATAATGTCAAATTACTGAGAGTTGAAGAAAAGGATGTGAAACAGCCTCTTTCTCACCCCAATCTTATTCTATTTCTCAAAAGTTATAAACACTTTATCAAGTGTTACTTTTGCAGAGATTTGATTGGTTACAGGTTTGATCACAGACTGATATCAGTTTGAGAACGAGCGGAAAACCAAGAAGTATTAGACAGTTGTTTCTTCCTAGTTTGGAGTTCTTCAGTGGAACACATCCACCAGGCTCCAAAACCAGAACTTTCAGATTATTAGGCAAGCTAGTGGACCATTCAACCACTGAAATTCGATTGAGCAGACAATGAATTCCAACTTCTGTCGAACTAGGACGAAACAGATGTTTATTACTCCCTGCTTTTCGAATGGTTCTCCAACTAATGTCAACTTATATACACAGAAAAGTAGTATTATTTTTCAAAAGTTAAACTTTATTAATTATTCTGCACCGAAATGATCAGTCTTTGTTGACATATCTGCTTCTAGTCTGCACGCTTCCACTGTGTCTAAGGCTTAACGTGAAGTTATTTTAATTGGTGGTGACTAGCAGTGGAAACTAGGAGGCTCATTTCGTCCTATCTCGGAGTCTTCAGCTGCATATACCAGCATTCTCAGTGAGTGGTCTCATTTGCACTAACACTTAAAAAATTACATCCATCTTTTCAAACGTTTAAGCATTATCCACTAGACCTGAATTCCACTGCTGGTCACCACAGATCGAAATAACTTCAGTAAATCATTTCTAATATGAATGAATGTTTCCACCATTGGAGTGTTAGAAGATTTCGCTTACCACTCAAAAAACAATAATAATAATAAAATAAGATTGTATCATAGGAATAATCAACAACAATAACAACAGATGTTGACGAACTCAAAACAAACCAAAGTAGAATTAATAGATAAAAAAAAGATAATAGGTAGATTCATACTTCTAAGGTTTTGGAGATGTAAAGCTTCAGAATAGAGTAATTACAACATTATTATGACACAATAAGACTCGACAAAAATGATGGAATTGATCTAGAAATAGGCCAACAGAGAATTGTGTTCACTTGTGTAAATCACATAAGATTGCAAACATAAGATAATACTTATTTACCTAATTAAACTAAAGGTGAAATGAGCAAACTTGAAGTGTCTACGGGTGGCCGAGTGGTTAAGGCGATGGACTGCTAATCCATTGGGGTTTCCCCGCGTGGGTTCGAATCCCATCCCCGTCGGGCACAAACTTGAAGTTGCTCACTAGCGACTGGCCTTATTCAGGCAGTGATCTGAGGTTCTAGTGGGAAAGCAGGTTGAAGGTGAGGTAGTAATTCATCGAAGAAGACATTGAGAAGTGGTCGCGCTATGTCATGAATTGGAAGAAGTTAGAATTCATGGGTTG